CAATCTTTTGAGAACATCTAAATAGAAAGCTTGATGAACAGTCTGACCTAGTAGAATGAACTCCAACTGCACTATCCCCCTCACATCAAAAAACAAATGAGCATTGTCTTGATCTTTTCTTCTTTGTTTTAACTTTAAAAAATGTTATTTTTAAATGATTTTACAATATCAACTAAGTATTGAATTGATTTAACCACTCTAATAATGAACTAAACTAAGATTATTATGTATTGATGAACTCAACTTTTTAGTTTGACTATTTCTTTTTATTTATTTACTAAATTATTTGATTGGGAGCTTGTACAATTCTTATCACAATCCATACATACATCCATTATGTCAAACACATTTGTACATTTCCTGCTCTCATCATTCTTAAAACATTTGCTTTCTACTTGAGCCCTTGGTATCAGCTCCACATTTTTCTCCTCCCCACCTCCCCCACAAACCCTTGATAATTTATAAATTATTATTTTGTCAGGTCTTATACTGACTGATGTCTCTCTTCACCCACTTTCCTGCTCTCATCATTCTTAAAACATTTGCTTTCTACTTGAGCCCTTGGTATCAGCTCCACATTTTTCTCCTCCCCACCTCCCCCACAAACCTTTGATAATTTATAAATTATTATTTTGTCAGGTCTTATACTGACTGATGTCTCTCTTCACCCACTTTTCTGTTGACCATCCCCCAGGGAGGGGGCTATATGTAGATCCTTGTGATGTTTCCCCTTTCTACCCCACTTTCCCTCCACCCTCCTGGTATTGACACTCTCACCACTGGACCTAAGGGGTTCATATGTCCTGGATTTCCTGTGTTTCCAGGTCCTATCTGTACCAGTGTACATCCTCTGATCTAACTGGATTTGTATAGTAGAATTGGGATCATGATAGTGGGAGGAAGGAAGCATTAAAGAACCAGAGGAAAATTATATGTTTCATTGTTGCTACACTATACCCTGAGACCCTTCTGTAAGGGGATGTTCAGTTGCCTACAGATGGGATTTGGGTCTCTACTCTGCACTCCCCCTCATTCACAATGATATGATTTTTCTTTCTTTGATGCCTGGTACCTGATTCCATCAACACTTAGTGATCACCCAGGCTGGTGTGCTTCTTCCATATGTGCT